GGGGGGTGTGAGATGGGGGGACACTGAGCTGTGAGATGGGGGGGTCTGAGGTGTGAGATGGGGGGACTGTGCTGCTCAGCAGCAGGTTCAGCCTTCACCGTGTCACGCAGGAGGGAACAGGACACTCAGCTCTGGCACCAGCCCTGGAACCTGGTGGTGGCCACTTGAGGTTGGGCTGGGGCTGCAAAGAGCCAGTGGTCCCTGGGGCTCTCACTGGGCAGCTGTTTTGGAGAGGAGGGCAGGGGGCTGTGCCACCCCAGCACCTCTTAGGGCTTTGGCCTCCTGATGTCCTCAGAATTTCTTTACCCAAAGAGTGGTTGGACAGTGGAACAGGCTGCCCAGGGAGGTGGTGAAGTCACCATCCCTGGAAGTATTTAAATACGTGGATATAGTGCTTAGGGACCTGATTTAAGCACTGAATGGGTAAGTTAGGTTATGGTAGGAATTAGGTTATGGTTGGACTTGATGATCTTCAAGGTCTCTTCCAGCTAGGATGATTCTATGATTCTCTAGTCCTGGTGTGAAGAGCCTGTGGCTGGTTGCTTTGGTTTGATGCAGCCAAGGAGCAGCACTTTGCCCTAAATAACTACCCTCCCAGGGGAAGGTTGGTGTGTATTTTTTGGCTATGCTGCTGACTCTGAGCAAAGGTGTGAAGCAGGATCCCCACGGGCTCCAACACCCCGAGTGCAGGGATGGAGATCAGGACCTGGTGGCATCGGGCATTTAAACCCTACAGCAGAGATGGGTCCCAGCTGGTTCCCCCACTCCCCACCCCAGCACTGGGTCCTGCTCCCCTGGCACCTGCTTCTGGCAGCTCTTGGGTGAGGTGTCATGAGGTGTTGGGCTGGAGACAGGACATGCCAAGTCAGTCTTGTGTGTGGCCACACATTTCCCCACCACTGCCCTTGTTTAATTGGCTCCATCCCAGGCTGGTGTTGTCTGCAAGAGCTGCCTTGGAGTAATTTGGGGCGAGAGCTTTAGTTCAAATGCTGTTTCTTTTCTGCTTGTTTTCACCCTGCCTCCCCCCTCGACTCAAAGTGAGAGGGGAGGGTGAGCTGGATCCCTTCCCACAGCCCTGAGGCGGGAGCTGGGCACGCAGGTGGGTGGGGAAGGACATTGAAAGCTGAGGTTAACACCTCCAGGAGAAGAAACAGGAGAGATGCAGTGCTGGGGAGCCAAGTAGAGAAGGCAGCTGAGATGCTCTGGGAATGCTGGGAATGGGTGGAGCTGGAGGAAGTTACTCTGGTTTTCCCTCCCGAAAGAGTTCAAATAAACATTCCAAGGTGTCCCTGGCCTCTCCTGCCTGCGCGAGGGGACACCTTGATGCAGAACTGGGGCTTTCAGGGGGATCTACAGTTGGAAATGGTAAATGTCAGGATTAAAAATGATCCATTGGGTGATTGCTCATGGCAGAACAGGCTGGGAAGCAACTTCCAGGCTGCTGCCCTTTTCCAGAGGAGCTGGAAGAGCTCTCATCCAGCCTCCATGTCTCCTGCATTCAGGACCAGGAGAGCTGGTGCCTTCACAGGGTTATCCCTGACCACCATTGGGGTCTGTCACAGCCTTTGGGGTTTGTGTAATTTCAGCACTTGGAGGAAAAAAAGCTCTCAATCACTGGGTGTCCCAGGGGTGTGCAGGCTCAGAAGGGAGAGTGTCCCACTACTCTCCAGCAGTGGCAACACTGGGCACTAGGACTGGCAGCTTTTTGGAGGAGGAATTCCTCCTGTGTTACCTTTGATGGGGTGATGGAGGGAACGACTTTTCAGTTTCCTTTGGGCAGGACAGGTCTAGCTTTGCTTTGAGGGATCAGTCATGATGCTTTGAAGCTCTTTTCTCTCCCCTTTTCCCTTCCTGTTGGGCAAGAGATCCCGTGCACGAATGCTCTCCTCAGAGGGGCAAGCCAAGGTGTGGTGGATCATCCCAACGTGCAGGCTGGTCCCTGTCCAGCTAAAACCCACTGGCCGTGAGTTGGAGCTTTAATTGCACAAGAAAACAGTGCAGCCACGACCTTCACAGCATCCACACCTTTAACTGACCCAGCTGGGCACAGGGTTTGGACCCCAGAGGTTTGAGCAGAGGTTTCCCAAGACCACGTCTTTGGGTGTCCTGGAGCTGTGACTGACCCCCCTGCCCCATTGTGTCCCCCCTGCCCAGCTTTTCCACACGGGTAGTAGAGCTGGTGCCCAGGGGCTCTGAGCCCCGTGTCAGTGGGGGGGGGCTCTGAGCCCTGTGTCAGCAGGGGGGAGCTCTGAAACCCGATGCTCTTTTGAGAAGATCCGACTGGTGCTGCCTGTAAACAGTGGGTGCCCGTAGGTGAGCGCCGACCTTCCTGGTATTTTCTCCCGTGTCGTGGGAAGAGGGAAAGGTTTCAACAGGCACTCTGGGTTTTGAGTGTGTTCGTGGCTTTTCTGTGCTTGCCTGGTGGGGGTTTTCCTCTTTCATTCCTTCTCCTTATGGCAGAGGGACGTTGCTGCCTTGGGAAGCAGTGCTGGTATCTGGGGAGGAGTGATGAGGGTTGTTGCTCAGGCTGGAAGCTTTTCCTCCTTGGAGTTGCATGGTAGGGTTGTGCTTTGTGTTTGTAAATGAACTGGACTTCTTCATGTTCCTATTTTCCCTGGAACTAGGTGGTAGCTTTGGAGGTGTGTAGTGAGAGGACAAGGGACAATGATTTGAAGCTAAAAGAGGGGAGATTCAGGTTGGACATCAGGAAAAAGTTCCTTCCTGTGAGGGTGGGGAGATGCTGGAACAGGTTGCCTAGGGAAGCTGTGGCTGCCCCGTCCCTGGAGGTGCTGAAGGGCAGGTTGGATGGGGCCTTGAGCAACCTGGTCTGGTGGGAGGTGTCCCTGCCCATGCAGGGGGTTGGAACTAGATGGTCTTTAAGGTCCAACCCAAACCATTCCATCATTCTATGATTCTCCCACTCAGGTTTGGGCAGCAGGGTTGGGTGTTACTTGCACGGCACTGGAGGAAAGGCAGATATCTGGTCTCTTGAGAGCAAAGGGTTAAAGCCCCATTAGGGTGGGAGCTGGTATTTGGCCAGATAAGTCCAGTTTTTCCTTGGGAAAGTTTTTAATGTTCAACTAAAGGGAAAAAAATAAGCTGATTTAACTCCTTCTTCCTTGCACTCTTGTGAGCATCTGAAGACCTGGAGCCTGTAACAGGAGATGAAGATGGCCTGACTCTTCATCAGGGCTTAGTGCTTCCCTCCTGCCCTTCAAAGGGACCAGTAGCTGTGTCCCCATGCCACGTGTCCCCTGGGAGTGGTGGTGTGGTGCTGGGTGGCCCTGGCAGCTGATCTGCAGCTCTGCACCCACATCTGCGCTCAGGCGCCTTTGCTTCTGCCTTGGGCTCTGCTCGCGTGGTGAGTGGGTGGATGTTCTGGTTTATGCTACAGAGGAATTGCTCTTGGCTGTTCTGGCTCAGAACAGCTGCTGGGAGCAGCTTCTGCAACAATTCCTGTTGATGGCGTGTCCCTCCGCTCAGGGGTATTGCTCGTGTGCTTTAAACTAACATTATTCAGCAAGTTCTTGTTGCCACGTGGGCATTTGAGTATGAAAAAGCATCTGTGATGGCAGGAGAGTGGAGACCAAGCTTTTTGCACACTTGTAAAGACCTGGAGACATCCTTTTCCCCGGGGAGCCTGGTAGCACAGGACTTGACCACCCTTGCTTTTCCCTGCCAGTGCCAAGAGCAGCAAGAACAGTATCCAGAGGAGAATGAGCCCAGGCTTTTGCCAGCTGGAGCAGCTCCATGTTGCCCTGGGGCACGATGTGGAGCTCCTGCATGACCCATCTCCTCAAACCTGACAGCCAAGAAGGTGGTTGGGCTCTTGCAGGTTGATGGTTTGTGGTTTTCCCTGTCATTAAGAGCAGTGCAGGACTCACGGGGGCTGTAAGGGACACGAGGGGAGCCTGCAGTTGGCTCAGAAACCCAGGGCCAGGTTCTCCCATGTCCCACAGTGTGCAGACCTGCTGCATGGGTAGTGCCACCATGATGTGTAGTGTCTCCTGAGCCCTGTGGGTCTCCCTGGCTCTGGGTTTGGGTCAGGACACCATGTTCGTGGGTCTAGGGGCTTGCTGATGTGTTTGGGGAAAGCTGGGGTTCCACCTCCCACTGCTTTTGGGCCAGAAGGGCTCTTTCCATGTCAGAGTCTGATTTGTTCCACTGAGATGCTTGGGTGTGTTGTGCAGCAGGTGGCAGTTGCAGCAGGGAGGGTTTGGTGCCCTGACCATGTGTGTCCCCTGCCCAGTGGACCCTGAGGTCTCTGTGCTTGGGCTGAAGTCCCTGCTGGGGCAGGAGGGCCGGGGGGATTTATAAGCACAGAGGAGGCAGTGGTGAAAAAATTAGCAACCTGAGAAAGTCTTCAAATTCCTGCCAAGGCTCTCCTGGAGGATAAATGAGCTCCTGGTGCCTGTGGAGCAGGGGAAGGGGCTTGGGGCTGCTCTGCTGGCAGAGGGGAGGGGGCTGGTGCTGCCAGCAGAGGCTGGTGCCTGGATCGGCGCAGCGTCCCCACTGCAGCTCTGCTCTGAGGCACGAGGTTCCTGGAGGAGCTGGGCTTCAGTCTGAAACACAGGCTCTGTTGCCTCTTAGCTCTGGAGCAAGAACTGTGTGGGGTTTTGGGTGGAGAGGGAGACTTGACTTGAAAAACACTTGAGCAAGAGCAGATCCACTTCTCAGTCTGCTGTAATGCTCCTGCACAGCTCCACAGAGACGTGTCAGGGTGTGAAGGTTTTTAACCAACAAAACCTCAGAGCTTTTCCTAGGTGGAGGAGGAACTAGGTACACACACATCATTTCTCTGTAGCCAGAACTGAAATGAATCTTCTGATCGATCTCTTTGCAGCGACGTCCTTGCCCTGCCCATCTTCAAGCAGGAGGAGTCGAGTTTGCCTCCAGACAACGAGAACAAAATTCTGCCTTTCCAGTATGTGCTTTGTGCTGCCACTTCCCCGGCTGTCAAGCTGCACGATGAAACACTCACCTATCTCAACCAAGGTGAGAGAAGCCCTGTGCCCTCTGGGGGCTGTGGGAGTCTCCTGTAAACACCCTAAAAAAAATAAAAATAAATAGAATTCTGCCTTTGGAAATTCCCCTTGGGAATGAAAAGCGCCTCAATAGTGACCCTGAGATGGCTCCTGGTTGGAAGTGCCACTTCCTTCCCCTTGCTGCCTGCCCCCTGCCCAGGGGATTTCACTTAATGAAAAGCTGAGTGGTGTAAGGTGGCTGATGGGTGTATCTGTGCTGGGGTGCTCTGCAGGGGGGTGTTGGACAGGTTCAAGCTGTACCTGCTGCTTCCAAGTAGAACTGGAAGATCAGGGTTGGCAACCTTTGTGGAGGAAGCTTGTGTAATCAATTTCTTGCCCATTCTTTGGCTTGGGTTAATGAGGGTAATTCCTAGAAAGTACTGCAGCAGGAAAGGGGAGGATTATCTCTGCCTGGAGAGGAGTGTTACAGCTCTGGCTCTAATGGCTCGTGCTCATAACCCCCTCCCCCAAAAAACATGGTGAGAGGGTGAAGTGACACGTCCAGTGTGGCAGAAAAAGATGTCAGAGGAGGGGTGGCAGTGAAGGTTCATCCCCAGCTAACCATGAGCTGCACTTGTCTTCCTTTCCCCAGGGCAGTCCTATGAAATCCGGATGCTGGACAACAGGAAGATTGGGGAGCTGCCAGAGATAAATGGGAAACTGGTAAAGGTAAGTGGGGAGCACGGGTACCCGTGTCCAGCTGGGCTGCCCTGCCACAGGGAGCAGCGAGCGAGGTCGCACCCTGCATCCATGGCAGTGCATGTGGGATAACCCTGGCTTGGTGGGGGGTTATTTTTCTCTTCTCTTCCCTTGATGAGACCAGCCTGGCTGGTGGTGTCTGGGGCCTGGGGTCAAGCCAAGAGGTGTTTGCTGATCTCTTCATCAGGAGGGATCAGCAGCAGCCTTCGTGTTTCTGCTTCCAGGGTCCATCTGGGCTTCCTTTTATTGTTTTGGCTTCCCCATGAAGCCTTCAGGTCTGTCTTCTCCCCTCTGGGACTTGGAGATGCCTCACAGCCTGAAGACTCTGGGGTTTCCTGGGGCAGCTCCAGGCACAGACTGTTTCTCCCCTCTAGAGCATATTCCGGGTGGTGTTCCACGACCGGCGGCTGCAGTACACAGAGCATCAGCAGCTGGAGGGCTGGCGGTGGAACAGGCCTGGGGACAGGATCCTGGACATAGGTGAGTCCCCCTGGCAGCACCTTGGTTGGGGCTGGAGAACACGTGGGAGCCTGAAGTGCCTCCAGTTGGACCCCTGGACCTTTGACTTTAAAGGACAAAGTGCTGTCATGATTGGTGGTTGGTTCACAGAACCATTGAGGCTGAAAAAGACCTTTAAGACCATCAAGTCCAGCCTATGACCTGACACCACCACATCTCCAGACCATGGCACCAAGTGCCACCTCCAGCCTTTCCTTGGACACATCCAGGGATGGTGCCTCCACCACTTCTCTGGGCAGTCCATCCCAGTGTCTGATCACCCTCTCCATGGGGAAGAGCTTCCTGATATCCAACCAAAACCTCCCCTGGAGCAGCTTCAGGCTGTGCCCTCTGGTCCTGTCACCAGTTGCCTGGGTGAAGAGCCCAGCCCCCATGTTCTGTATGTTCCCTGTGAATCTCCTCCTGCTCCAAACCACAGCTGCTTCTCCATGTGCCCTCCTGCAGATATCCCCATGTCCGTGGGCATCATTGACCCTAGAGCAAACCCAACCCAGCTCAACACTGTCGAGTTCCTGTGGGATCCTTCAAAGAGGACTTCCGTGTTTATCCAGGTAAAAGAGAAGTGGGGAAACTCCTATTGTGGGGGCCTGGGGGAAAAAGTAAGTTTTCCAAGGGGGAAGAAGATGCTTTCCCCCCCCCTCCTAAACTTGGAGCACTGACATCACAGCCAGATGCTGCAGGGGCAGAAGGATGTCAACTAAAATACCACCCCCCTCCTGCCTCAAGCAATGCAAGAGAGCAGCAGTTGATGTCTTAGCAAGACACAGGCACAACTGACCACCAGTGAGTTGTTTTAAACATTTTTGTGGTGGTTTAGGTCCCATTGGTTTTGTGATTTGGGTCTTCATCTTGCTTAGATGCTTTTGTACATCTTACCAGCTGCCTGAAATAGCTCTTGGAAGTCTGGCCCTCCTGCCCAGGATAAAAGGCTGCAATGTGTGGAGGCTGGTGCAGCTGAACTCTCTGCCCTGCTGTTCCAGGGCAGAGAGGTAACATCAAGAGGTTGCAGAACTTGTTGGGAGAATGTGGCTCCTCCTCTGCTGGGGCCTCCCCTTAGCTCCTTAATGTGGGGGGCACTTGCCCTGCTCCCCTCCCAGCTCTGTATTTCCTCCCTCTCACCAAGCTACCCTTTACATGAAGGCTGTTCTGGTTCTCACAAGGGGAGTGGGCAGTTGGGCCAGTCAAATGGGGCAGAATTGCTGAGGTCAGGATGCCTTCTCCTTCCCAGGTTCACTGCATCAGCACGGAGTTCACCATGAGGAAGCACGGGGGGGAGAAGGGGGTACCCTTCCGGGTCCAGATAGACACGTTCAAGGAGAACGAGAATGGGGAGTACACGGAGCACCTGCACTCTGCCAGCTGCCAGATCAAGGTCTTCAAGGTACCTTGGCCCATTAGTGGCCTTTCCCTGCTAGGAAACAAACTGGGAGTCAGTTGCAGTTCACACTGCAGCACCAGTGGATGTCACAGGTGCAAGGACCTGGCTGAGCTTGTCAGCAAAAGGATGTCTCCGTCCTTCTGGCCTTGCCTTGCCACCCTCACCCTGGTTCCTCTCAATCAGTGAATGGTTTAGGTTTGAAAGGACCTTAAAGATAATTCAACCTCCTTGCCATGGGCAGGGACACCTCCCACCAGCCCAGGCTGCTCCAAGCCCTGTCCAACCTGCCCTTCAACACTGCCAGGGCAGTGTTGGGGCAGCCACAGCTTCCCTGGGCAACCTGGGCCAGGCTCTCACCACCCTCACAGGGAAGAATTTCTTCCTGATGTCCAACCTAAATTTCCCCTCTTCCAGTTTCAAGCCCTTCCCCCTCAGCCCATCCCTCCTGCCCTTGGCCCAAGTCCCTCCCCAGCTTTCCTGGAGCCCCTTCAGGCACTGGAAGCTGCTCTCAGGTCTCCCTGGAGTCTTCTCCTCTCCAGGCTGGACACCCCAACTCTCCCAGCCTGGCTCCAGAGCTGCTCCAGCCCTCCCAGCATCTCCAGGGCCTCCTCTGGCCCCTCTCCAACAGCTCCATGTCCTCCTTGTGCTGGGGACCCTCAGCCCTGCAGAGGGGTCTCATCATGGGGAGGCAGAGGGGGAGTTGATTGAGTTGAGATATTGAGTGAGTCCAGATGCCTTTGAGGTTACAAAACCACATAGCCAAGAGGAACGTACAGGGAGAACACAGGTTGTGTTGCCTCTGTCTGAAACGTCCCATGTTTAGTCTTGAGTCATAACAGCTTGGGAGATCCTCCAGGGAGCTTTGTCTAAACTCCCTGCTCTATTATTACCTGTTGCTGATGGTCCCTCTGCATCTGATGGATGGATCTGGTCTCTCCAGCAGTGCAGGCCCCTGGTGGCTGTTGAGAATCATTTGCAGAAACCTGGAGCCACCCCCTGGCGGTGGCTGAGGAGGCTCCTTGGTGCAGCAGCTCCCGGGGGTCGGGCTGCAGGGAGCAAGCAGGGGCAGGCCTTGCTGTTTGGTGTGCTGGGGTTGCCTCTGTTACCCTGTGACACCCCCCAAAATCTCATCTGTGGCTTCTATTTCCTCTCCCTTGGGGGCCAGGACACACAGCAGGGCCATGGGCACTGTGCCCTGCTGCTGGTGACTTGGCACCTTCCTCATTCTCTCTCTTCTCTGTTCTGCCTCCTGGGGTTATCTCCTGAAGGCAGGGTGTGATTTGTTTGGGCTCTGACTGGTGTCTGCAAGCAGTAGCCCCACCAGGCAGCTGTGGGGCTGGGAGTGAAGGGGCCAGGCTGGTTGCAAACAAGCAGTGAGGCTGTGGGATCCAGCACCATGTTTCTGCTGAGCTTCAGCTCTTTGTGCGTGAGGATGGGTGGGTGTTTTGGCTCTGGTGACCTTGCACCAAGGAAAGCCAAAGCAGTGAAAGTGGCTTCAGGGCAGGTGTCACCGTTTGACTCAGGTCCGACAACAACTTGATCCCCTCCCCCTCCCACCCAGGTAGGGAAGGAGAGAGAGAAAAAGAGAGAGACTTGGCTGGATTGAAAACTAAACTACACAGCTTTAATTAAACACTAATGAATGATATAAGAGAATATATACAATTATATACAGATATATTCAGTTAGGGGCAAAAGCCTCTTGCCTCCCCCCACCCCCAGCAACTCCCACCAACTCCTGAACTGGGAAGAGTCCCAAGGAATCCCAGAGCTGCTGCTGGAGAGAGAGCAGAGTGAGGAGGGTCAGGAGAGCTGGAGCCTGTGGGTCCCCGGTGATGGATGAACAGAGTCCTCCCCGGACGCCGGCCATGGGTGGAAGAGAAGGGAAGACGAAGAAGGAAGGAAGTTGTCTTCTGTGATCTCTGACCTTCCTCTGAGCTGACGTAGCTCCATGGAATGGAATCTCTCTGGCCAGTTTTGCTGTCTGTCTAACTAAACGTCCCACGGGGGAGTCACAGATCTTCCCGTAGTGTCTGAGCCGGCAGAGTGAAGGTGCGACCTTGAAGCCTCAGTAGTTACAGAAACATTCCAATGTCTTATCAGCCTAGCAGAACACACAGTTGCTAGTTAAAAGAAAGCTTACTGAAGGAAAAAAAATCAATAAAAAGGAAAATTGGCTTAATCCTGGCTCAAACCAGGACAGCAGGTCTCCCCATTGTGGGCTCTGGTGATCTCTGCTTCATCTGCTGCTCCTCTGGCACAGCCCTCCCTGGGGCCAGGGCTGCTCTGGGGCAGCAGACCTGACCCTGTGTGTGTCGCTGTGCCTGCCCAGGACCTGTTGGCTGCAGCCTGTCCTTTGTGGATCAGTGGGATTCAGGCTCCTGCCCTGCTCTTGCCTTTCTCCCATCTGCCGCTCAAAGCTGGGGGCATTTTGGTGCCTTCAGAGAGCTGCTGAGGGCCCCTTGGCCATGCCCACCAGTGCCTGGAGCACAGGTGCTTTCCAGCTGCCAGAAGCAGCAGCACTGACCACAGCAAGATAAGAGCAGGCACGAGGTTTCCGTGGCAGAAATGGGCTCCTCAAGCCAGAGCTAAGCAGCACCTCCTTGCTCAGCTTGGAGCAGGGTTGGAGTTGGTTGAGGTCTCAGCTTTGCTGTCCAGAGGAAGAGCTGTGGAGCTTGGGGGAAACAGCAGGGCTGTGGGACCTGTATTTGCAGTCCTGAGGCTTCCCCACCAGCCCTGTGACTGCCCTCAGCTGCTCAGGAGATCCACTTGTTGGTCACCAAGGCCCAGTTCCTTCTGCTTGTGGGTGCAGGCAGTGACCATGCATGGCCAAGTTTTTCAGGAGTTTCTCCAGGGCTCTGCCAACAGAAGCACTGGGATAACTGGTAGTTATACTGGCACTCTCTTACCAGCTGCCTTCCCCAGGGCTTTGAGCATTTGATAAAAGGCAGCAAGAAAAATAATCTTGCATGTGAGACTGCAGGGGTTTTCAACGCTGTGACAAAGGCACAGACATAACTGAGCTCTCCTGTGTCCTGGTGCAGTTTGTGCTACTGAAGTGCTGTCTCTCTAAGTTGATGAAGATGCAGGTCAGATGTGTGACACCAGATTTCTCCTTTTAGAGACTACCTGTGCTTGTGGGAGAAGTATCTTCCAAAAATATGCTTCACCTCCTTCTTCTGGCCTCATTTAGGGGCATGGGTAGATCAGGATATTGGGGTTGTTACAGAAGTGCTGTTGTTGCTGTAGTTAATTCTGTGCAGATCATCCCAGCTCTCTTCCTTTTCTCTCTGTAAAGCAACAAGTGGGTGAGTAGAAGGATGAGTCAGCTTTTCTGGTTCTTTAATTTCTTGCTGCCCCCTCTCCATGCTTGTCCTGCATGGGATGGATGACAGACAATGCAGTAATTAAGATTAGTTGCATACAACATTGGGGGCTTTAATTATTCTGGACGAGAGGCACAAGTACAGTAAAAGTGTAGCGAAATTGTGAGATAAGCACAGAAGTTCAGTTAGGATGCAAAGGGCCTATTAGCTGTGAATTTTACTGCTTAGAATTAAATCAAACAACAAAGGTTAACCACTAAAATGCTGGCAACTTACCAATTATCAAATATTATACAAGGCCTAAAATATTATCACCTTTAAAGGATCTTACAGTCTCAATAATGAAGATGACTTAACGTTAAGTTTGCTAATAAAGACAGTGAATGAGTAATATTTTTCCCCCTTGTCAGGCCACAGCTGGGTGTCCTTGGTCAGACCACAACTCCTGAGGGTCAGTCTCCATGGCAGGTGTCCCTGCTAGAGGAGAGAAGTCCAGAACTCCCCAAGGAGAATGCACAGAGATCTCTCCCATCAAAAATGGGCTTTTATAGAATAAAGAGGATTGACTGTTGTCATTTAACCATGAGCCACACCTCCAACATGTCTCATGGGAGAACAAAAGGAAAACTGTGGGGGGGGGAAAAGCATGAAGGCCCTGTTCCCACCAAGCAAACACTGTTCATCTGTTGATTCTCACTTTATCTCCATTTCAGGCCTGGTTGTGGCTGGGCTGGGCTCTGTTTTCTTAAACACTGGAGAGCAACGGGTGTCATGAGCAACCACTTGCTCCTTGTTTGTACCTTTCAAGGTTGTTTCCAGCTCAGAGTGTGCTGGTCCGTTTCCTTCTTCATGGGAACCTTTCACTGCAGGCCAGGGCCTGCAAGGTGAGAGCCAAAAAGCAGTTGAATCATCAGAGGGAACTGAGGCAGGTGTATTGAGAGATGGAGCATCCTGCTACAGTGCTGCTGTTGTAACAGAAGCATCTCCTTTCCAGCCCAAAGGAGCTGATCGGAAGCAGAAGACGGACAGGGAGAAGATGGAGAAGCGAACACCTCACGAGAAGGAGAAGTACCAGCCCTCCTATGAAACCACCATCCTCACCGAGGTGGGGGCTCTGCCAGGCACTGCCTGGTGTCTTGCTCTACTGAGACCTGGGTTGCCTGGCTCCCAGGGGGCAAGGAACTGGCTGCTCTGCCATGAAATGCTTGGCCAAGCTGGTAATAGCTGCAAGGCAAAGCAAGAGAATTTTTGTAGGCACAGGAGGTGTTTCTTACTAGACCCAAAAAAGGGCTCTTGTGCCTGGAAACGTGATGGCTTTTTCCCCTACTGTGAAAGATCATCTAATAAAAGATTTTTGCCTCTCCCTGCTTTGTTTTGCCCCTGTGGCAACTGGCCACTGAAGCTGTGAGTTGGCAGAAAACCCTGTGAATTCCTCCTGGTGCTAATGGGAAGTGTCGATCTACTGAAATGTGACTGAAGGGTTTGGTGCTGAACAGCCCTGGGGAGGGAACCCTTGTCCTGCCCCGAGGTGCCTGGGCTGGTGGGCACCATCTGTGTCAGCTCAGTGCCAGAGCAATGGGTGTAGATCCCAGATCTCACTGCCTTTAAATGTTGAGGCTTCTTTGAGATTAAGGATCCCTAACTCTGGGCTTTGTGCCTTCTCTGTGATGATTTGGCAGGGTTTCTTTTTAATCTCCTACTTTATTCTTCAGTTCTGTTCCATAGTCAGTTGTGGGTCAGCAAATGGCTGTTAACTGTGCTGCCCAGAGCAGATGTGTGTGCTTGTTCAGAGCAATCCTGTGACTCTCCTGGGTTCTCCTTTCTAGTGTTCTCCCTGGCCAGAGATAACCTATGTCAATAATGCACCGTCCCCTGGCTTCAACAGCTCCCACAGCAGTTTTTCCCTTGGTGAAGGGTAAGTCCAGAGAATAGCCTGGGTGGCTCTTTGTTTCCACCTGACATGAGAGATCATAGAATGGATCACAGAATCAGAATGGTTTGGGTTGGAAGGGACATTAAAGATCATCTAGATCCCACCCCCTGCATGGGCAGGGACACCTCCCACCAGCCCAGGTTGCTCCAAGCCCCATCCAACCTGCCCTTCAGCACCCCCAGGGATGGGGCAGCCACAGCTTCCCTGGGCAACCTGGGCCAGGCTCTCACCACCCTCACAGGAAGGAACTTTTTCATAATGTCCAATCTGAATCTCTGCTCTTTATCCTTCAGACCATTGCTCCTTGTCCTCTCACTACACACCATGTAAAAAGCCCCACCCCAGCTTTCTTGTAGGTCCCCTTCAGATATTGGAAAGTTGTTCTAAGGTCACTATGGAGCCTCCTCCAGGCTGAACCATCCCAACCTCCTCAGCCTGTCTTCATAGAGGAGGTGCTCCAGCCCTCTGATCATATTCACGGCCTCCTCTGGACATGCTTGAGGAGCAGTATGTCCTTCTTATGTTGAGGACTCCATCCAGATGGATGTGCCTGAGCTGGCAGTGGCTGCTGGTGACACAAGGGCCTGGTTCCATGGTGTACAGGGGGTGGAAGCAGCCTAAGGAGCTGTGTCACTGGGGGAGAACCAAAGCCCGTGAAGCTGAGTGTTGTTCCCTCTTCAGGCTGCAGCAAAGCCCAGCTCTGGCGTGAGCAGCCTGTGTGCATCTGGGCAGCAGCAGCTCAGCCTCCATCTGTTTTGCTCTGCCTTTCCCCACCACGTTCATTCTCCAGCAGAAGCTCCTTGGCTTTGCAAAGTCTTGTGCTGCACCCGCGGCGCTGCTGCCGAGGCCACCTGGCTCTGTCCCTGTGCTTCAGGGCTCTTGGTTACAGGACTAGGGTGGAGGGTGGTTGCTGGGATCCTGTGTCAGGAGGGGATGAGTGGCACTAACCCCCTGTTCTGCTCTGGCTCTTGTCCCAACCCTAGCAATGGCTCTCCAAACCACCAGCCCGAGCCACCCCCTCCAATCGCAGATGTAAGTCACACCTCAGAGCTTATGCTTGTGGTAAGGATGGTGCACAGGTGGGAACATGGGGACTGGGGGTGGAACTGGGGTGGTTTTGTGGGTGGCTGTAGTTTGCTGGGGAAGAGACTGCTCTAGTTTAACAGCTTTGGGGAGTTGTACCTTCTTTTTGACTCCTAGTTGGAAAAAGAGTCGATGGGGTGAAAAATGTCCAGCAAAGCAGCGTGAAGCTGCGCGCAGACTTCTTGTAGCTCACTGTGACCTTTACTTACTGCTTTGATCTTCACTGTGCTTTCCCCTTCTTTCCTCCTTCCCTGGCCCTCTGGAGCCTTTAAAATCAAAACCTGCCCAGGCTTCAGCTTGACGTGTGTGTGCTGTGAGCCTGGCTCACCGGGGGCTTGATTTAAGACAATCGTTATCCACACTGAGCTGACCTGTGCTAGTTCTTCAGTGGAAACGTTTCCCTGTCGCCTCTGAGGCAGTGACCCTTCTCTCCCCATGTTGCAGAACCTCTTGCCCACCAGCACCCCCCAGGAGGCTCAGCAGTGGCTGCACCGAAACCGCTTCTCCACTTTTTCTCGGCTCTTCAGGAACTTCTCAGGTAGGTCCCAACATCCCCTCCGTGTCTGCCCCTTCTCCCTGCCGGGTCCCTGTGCCTCTTCCTGCTCCCGAGGCCATTCTCCTGTTGCTGTTGCAAATAGAAATGTCTTTTAAAATATTCCTTTTTTTGTGAGACAAGAAGATGGGGCTCCCTGAAAGCTCTGCTCTTTGTTTCTCAGTCTCAACTGGGGTGGTTTCACTCCCAAGAGCTCACAGCACCCCCCGGTGTCAAAGCACCATGTGTAAGGAAACACTTCATGTTTCTTTTCCTTTCCTTCCCTCGTGATGCAGCCCACAGGGTGACTGAGGTGCTGAGTAACCAGCTGTCAATAATGCAGGACAGGGTTGTACCCAAATACACTCTTGCAAAATCAGTTTGGAAAAAAAGCTCTTGCAGATGTTCTGGGGGAAGCAGGGGGAGGCGGTGGGGAGAGGGCAGACAAGGTTTGGGTGAGCTCTGTCAGCAGGAGGAGAGGGGTGCCCAGAGCACCCCCATCCCAGACACTTTGGGCTGGATTGTGTGACTTGTCTCTCCCTCTGGCTTTTAACACTGCAGGAGCAGACCTGCTGAAGCTGACCAGGGAGGATGTGATCCAGATCTGCGGCCCCGCCGACGGCATCCGGCTCTTCAACGCCCTGAAGGGCCGGTACGTTGGTTGGGCAAAGGCTGATGGTGGCTGGGAGGAAAACTGGTTTTGGTTTAGCCTGTTTGCTGCTGGAGAGAGCAGAGTTTAATTGACCTTCCTGAACCTCTTTGATGAGTTAGCCTGCAGGGTAACTGCTTCAGAGACATCGGGGAAGAAAATCCACGTGGGAGAGAAGTGTTAGCGATTATGGGGATCTTTGGATGTCAGGGAACGAGCCAGAGAGTCCTGCCCACACAGGACTTGTTTCCTCCATCCTCTGAACTGTCTCCCTTTCCTGAAAGGTTCCTTT